TAGATAGAGAGCTCCTCAGAATAGCTAACTCACAGTAGTATGTTTTTTTTTTAAATTTGCAATAGCTTTGCTATTAGCCTGCTCACACTGCTTCATGGTCTTTGGCACAAAACAGTAAGTCCTGAATTGTTGAGAGGCTCTTTAAAGACCAACTTCAACCTTTTCTCTTCAACGGAACTGCAGCACATCAGAAATTTAGCTCTTATTTGTGATTTATAAGGTTTGTAGTTGGCTGGAGGCCCTGACCTGGATACCCCAGGCTAGCCCGATCTTTTGGATGGGAGACCACCAAGGAAGTGCAGAGTTGCTGCCCAGAGGAAGGCAGTGGCAGACCACTAAGTCATGGAAGGGAGACCACCAAGGAAGACTCTGCAGAGGAAGGCAATGGCAAACCACCTCTGCTTCTCACTTGCCTTGAAAGCCCCTTGCTGGGGTGGCCACAAGTCATCTGTGACTTGACGGCACTTTCCCACCACCACAGTTGTCCCCACTGTAGAAGACTTTGTAAATGGGGCCATGTGAGGATTCATTTAGGTTAAAACATTACTACCCATTCCAGAATTCTGGGACTAGCCAGCTGAGCTATAGAAGTTCTGATGTATATGTAGAAAATGGAGGGGGGGGGAGCAATGTGGTCTAAAATAACAGCAGACTCTCTATGGGCTTCGGTCAGTAAATCTGCAAGCAATAAGCTCCAACTTTGCTAGATTATAGCGTACCTCCACTGTGAGCGGAACCAGTGTCAGTATGGTAGATTTCTTTTTCTCCTAGCTAAAGTGCTTGTTTAAGCCACTTGACAAATAATTAAGAAAGCTTGGCCAGTAGGCTTGTGGTCGTACAAGCTGCTACTGGAGATCGGTGTGGAATTAGTGAAGAAGCTTGACCGTATTAGCATATGCTATTTTTGGCTCTTAAAGGATGGGTTCCTGCTTGTGGTACTTTGCTCCTTGTGATGCTGACAACTGCGGTGCCAGTGCAATTGAAGCATCAGAAGGACAGCCTCGAGGTGATACAGGTCTTGGTATTCAGTACTTAGGGTGGCTAAAGGCATCAGCATGGCTGTCTCCTGGCCCCCTGACACCGGCGAAGGCCGGGAATGAGCCAACTACTTTAGCTCCACTTCATTCAGGAGGATTGAGTTGGGGGGTGGGTGGGGGAAGAGTGATCCCTGATCATTGGTTGTTGACTGAAGAGATATCACGGTCAAAAGGGAACTCCTACACCTTTTCCGGAGCTCCACATGTGCTCCAATACAGATCTAGAGCTCTTTAATACGCAGTCTTGTCCCATTCGCATCAACAGAGGGACTACAACGGAGTGCAAACAAAGGGATATGCAGGTGTTTCTCCGTAGACATGAATGGGGAGACTGATCACAGTCAGGGCCCATGTCTTCACTGGCCGAGAAACTGATAGAACAGTGTGATGGGTACGTGAATGATCATTGGCCACATTTGCATGTACAAGTGTAGCCAAGATCCTTGCTTGCTTCTTGGGTGGCCAGAGAGGGAATGGCATCAGCAATACTGGACCAAACAGTCCGTTTAAACCTAAGCGTGGTGCAGTGGTTAGAGTGTCAGACCGGGATGTGGGTGACCTCAGCTAGAATCGCCGCTCTCTTGAGTGACCCTTGGACCAGTCACACATGCTCAGCCTAACCTACAGCACAGGGGATGTTGTGAGGGTAAAATGGCGGAGGGGAGAAGGCCGTCAGCCACTTTGAGTCCCCAAAGTGGAGTGTAAGTGAAGTAAATGACATTTGTTCCAAGATGCTCATTTGTGCTCCCAGTGAATGAGCGTGGAGTGCCAGAAGCTCTTTAACGTTACTGAAGCTGTCTGGAAAGAAGACTTTCGGAGAGAAGCAAGCAGGGCAATTTTTGGGCAGGAACACACAGGAACGGCGTTCCGGCTGGCTTCAGAGCTGGCCACGCCCACTACAGCCAAAACCTCTGCATGTGTGGCTGCAGAGGGAAGGCCTGGAAAGAGACCCACCCCCCATCTAAATGCCTCCCCGTGCCTTCCCTGGCCTGTCCAAGGGCCGGCTTGCCTGGGCTCCCCGTAGCCACGGAGCACCTGGGCAAGCCAAGGGAAGGCATGGGGGTGTGGCCTAATATGCTAATGAGTTTCTGCTATTGGGTGTGGCC